AATGTTTCAGTTGAGTTACTGTCCCTACTTGCCACTTAGCTACCCCGAGATCCTTTGCAATTGGGGTTAAAGTTTTAGTGCTTCTCGGAGGCCATATGTACTTCAAAGCTCGTAAACTTGACACTAACAATAGTATTCTCTCACTGTCATCATAATGGCATTTCACGGAAGTTTTAAGCGGGTATTGCATATATTGTGTTACAAGATATAGAGCAATGTTATTAGCAGAGGGATAGACTCTCTTCTTTTAATAAGTAGAATGATTTACTAAAAGTGTCAAAACGAAAGCTTTCAAAAACTAGGAAGAAAAAAAAAACTATATTTCTCTTCAGAGATCAGAATCTCATAATAGTCTTATATGCATATATAGCTGTTGCCTCATCTGAACCTTTCCTCAACTATTTATATATAAGCAGATCTTCTTTTTTCTCTTAGATGGTATTCTCTGCATTGGCTTTGGCTCAATCTGAGGTTCTCTGGTACTTTCAACATGCTGGTGTTGCATCGTCAAAGTCTAAAATTGGTCGAGTGATACCAGTTGACATAGTAAGTTGATTGCTTAAAGCCTCCCTCCTTAATTAACTTTTACTTTTCGATGTATCCAAATTGTTGTAAACATTGCTTAGCTGGGCTTCTCTGTTCCTTAGGATCCAAATGATCCAACCATTGGCTTCTTGCTCGATGGAATGGACCGCCTCTGCTGTTTAGTGCGGAAGTACATTGCAGGTTTGTTAATTTTCACATACTCTGGTTGAAAAAGAGGTCTAGGATGATCCGTGGCAGACAATGAAATCTCAATGTCTCCATTTCCTATGGGAATCATTCGTCGATCATTACAAAAAGATATAAAGAAATTAATCTAATCTTTATGATGTGTGATATTTGAAATGCAGCTGTTAGAGGGTATGCCCTATCTTATCTTTCTTCCTCCGCTGGAAGGATCCGTTATTTGCTGAGCACTCCTGGGATTGTGGCTCTGGACCTTGACCCGACCTTAAAAGGTCTTTTCCAGCAGATTGTGCAGCATCTCGAGAATATACCAAAACCACAGGGAGAAAATGTCTCTGCCATCACATGTGACCTATCGGTAGGAAAGCTAGATCCTCTTGTTTCTAATTCTTTCAAGTCCATTATGCATAGTCTCTTTAATTGCAGATATGTTTTTCTTTTTAATTACCAACTCGGCTTATGTTCAAAGTCTTTATACTTAAAATCTGGCACCACCATATTTCTGTCGATTAATCTTCTAATGCATTGTCAAAATGCTCGGTGTTTATTCCTTTCCAGGAATTCCGGAAGGATTGGTTATCCATCCTGATGATTGTGACCTCTTCTCGATCATCAATAAATATCAGACATTTAGAAAAAGCTACCGTCTCTACTGGGAAGGAGGGCTTGCTATCTGAAGGAAATGCTGCATATAACTGGTCCAGGTACTGTTCCCGATGTTTTACGAACATGTACCCGCATATCTTCCAGCCTGCAGACATTATCTTACCAATCATAACATTTTGATTGAGTCCTATAGAACATCATTACCTTTAATAAGCTTCAGAATCTGAACCTTCCATTGGAGATTGCTGTAATGTATGTATGTTAAATCAACTTGATTCCCTAGAAGGACACAATAAGATCCAAGCAAATATCTTAAAAACCTTCCAAAATATAAAAAATTCAAATGCAGAATTTCATCAGTAAATAGGAAACTAATGCTTTGCAGAAAATTGTCTGGTTGATGCAGGTGTGTTGATGAGTTGGAATCCCAGTTATCAAAGCATGGAAGTCTGAAGAAACTGTATTTCTACCATCAACACCTTACAGCTGTATACTTCCTCGTGCCTGTCCATCCTCCGCATTTCTTTCATGTTCAGCTATACGTGTAAAATCGTAGTCTGATGTTTTTGACTGTTGTAAAAAAGGTTTTCAGAAATACGATGTTTGGACCAGAAGGGCGTCCCCAGCATTGTTGTGCGTGGCTCAGCGTCGCTAGTAGTTTTCCAGAATGCGCTTCTCTAATAATTCCCGAGGAGGTAAATTCACTTCTCACTCTCGTTAATCTTTTCCTTTCGTGTATTTCTCGCCTTTTACCATGGGAATACCATAAATTAAGTCATATTTCTCTCGAAACAGGTAACAAAAATTGGGCGAGATGCAGTGTTGTACGTCGAGTCTCTTATCGAATCGATAATGGGAGGACTGGAGGGACTAATAAACATTCTCGACTCAGAAGGCGGGTTTGGTGCTCTTGAATCTCAGGTTATAGATCCTAATATAACTCCACATTCTAACCATCTACAATGTTATTACCCGCTCACTCGCTTTTAAGATTCTTATGCTAAAACCACCTAAAACTGTATAATCGGAAGATTCCCGTAAATGACCATTGAGCTCAAATTGATTTTTGTCGACTTTTCTCAGCTCCTACCAGAACAAGCAGCGGCTTACCTGAATAATGCATCGAGAGTTACTATACCTTCGGTGAAATCTCCGAGACTTGCTGGTGGTTTTCCTTTGCCCGGCCATGAGAGTTATCCCGAAAGTCACAATTCCGTCAAGATGTAAGCCCAAACCTATTTCTCTAGTTGCTTTTTTCGTTATTAGTCGGATACTGCAATCTAAAGGTACCTATGTAATATTATTGCAGGTTGGAAGCTGCGATTCAAAGATTGACCAATCTGTGTTCAGTTCTCAATGACATGGAGCCTATATGTGTTCTAAACCATGTGTTCGTGCTAAGGGAGGTGAGCCTTCTAAACCATACCTTACCCGGAAATAGGGATGGAATAAGTGAATATTGCCTTTCGATTTCTTGCAGTACATGAGAGAATGCATCCTGGGGAATTTCAAGAGAAGATTTCTCGCCACACTGAAAATCGAAAATGATCTTCAACGGCCTTCCGTTTTGGAATCTCTGATCCGCCGACATATGAGCGTCGTCCATTTAGCCGAGCAGCATGTTAGCATGGACCTGACCCAAGGAGTTCGGGAAATCCTACTCACCGAATCCTTTTCGGGACCCGTTTCCTCTCTGCATTCGTTCGAAAAAACCGATACCGAGCAACAGCAAAACAATGGATCTGCCATTGAAGTGGTCTGCAACTGGTACATGGATAACATCATTAAGGACGTGTCTAGTGCCGGAATCCTCTTCGCTCCGAGGCACAAATTCTTCAAAAGCACCAGACCAGTCGGCGGGTACTTTGCGGAATCTGTAACTGACCTCCGAGAATTACAGGCATTTGTCCGTGTTTTCGGTGGATATGGAGTCGATAAACTCGATAGAATGATGAAAGTGCATACCGCTGCTCTGGTGAACTGCATCGACACGTCTTTGAGGTCGAACCGGGAATTAATTGAAGCGGTAGCCGCGAGTATGCATTCCGGTGATAGAGTAGAGAGGGATGCATCCATCAGGCAGATTTTGGATTTGGATACTGTTATAGGATTTTGTATCGAAGCCGGTCAAGCACTTGCTTTCGATCAACTCCTAGCCGAGGCATCGGGATCCGTTCTCGAAGACGACGCTCCCTTGATACACTCGTTGCTATATGGCGTTGCGAAACATGTTCCCGAGGAAATACCCGAGAAGAAGGAAGTCAGGAGGATCAAAGGTGTCGCAAATAGCATCAGCGTCATCGATGATCACGATTCCGAATGGGTCAGATCGATTCTCGAAGAAGTCGGGGGCGCGAGTGACAATTCCTGGAGCCTGTTACCTTATCTCTTCTCTTCGTTCATGACGTCTAACATCTGGAACACCGTCGGGTTCAACATCGACACCGGAGGCTTTAGCAACAATATCCATTGCTTGGCTCGGTGAGTAGAACTGTATATCGACTGGTTTTTCTCGAATCGGAAATCAGATTCGATATCGATCTGTCATGTATGCAGGTGTATCAATGCTGTGGTCGCGGGGAGCGAGTATGTGCGATTGGAACGCGGATACCTGCAGAACCAATCCCTCTCAAACAGTGACTCTGGCGAGAATATCGACCCAGAGTTTCAAACCCGCGTATCTGCCGAGGCAAACATCAAATCCGCGATGCTGATCTACGTGAAATTCGCCGCGGCGATCGTGTTAGATTCCTGGAACGAATCCAACAGGTAAAAATCAAATCAGAAACCATTAAGAAACCCGTTTCCACTTCGTTTATCGGCTCTTTTAACGTTGTTTTCTTATCACGCAGATCTCATCTCGTGGCCAAGCTTATTTTCTTAGACCAACTCTGCGAGATTTCGCCGTACCTCCCACGAAGCTCGCTCGAATCCCACGTCCCATATAGCATCCTTCGCTCCATCTACAGCCAATACTACTCCAACTCGCCTTCCACTCCTCTCTCCATCCCCTCCCCATCGCCTCACCACCACTCGTCGCCCTCTCCTAAACAGTCTCGGGGCGGCGACTCGACTCCACAGCGCGGCAGCGGGAGCGGCAGTAGTGCCATGGATTCAGGTTACTTCAAAGGCTCGTCATCCTCATCCTACCCCGCCCACGGTCATCACCATCATCTTTACGACCCAGAAAACTTAAGGAACATCGAGAACAAGAACCGGGGGAGTTCCCGACGATCGGGACCATTGGATTACAGCTCGAGCCGGAAAGCGAGGCACTCGGAACGAGGCTCGGGTTCGAACAGCACAGGTCCTAGCCCTCTCCCCAGGTTCGCCGTCTCGAGGTCTGGTCCGATATCTTACAAACAGTGAAAAGAAGCATCGTTTTGTAGAAAAGATAGAATGGATATTTGTTCTTAATAACTTAATTGTTTGCCATTCTCATACATTACATTTGCTGCTACCAAGAGTGGTGTAAGTTCATTACAGAGGCGTCTGCGCTCATAGTTTCAGCGTTTTGGTACACCCGACACTCATCGGAGATGATGCCTGCGAAAGAAATTCCGAAATTTCGAAGATTAGCCATCCGAATTTGCAGATACATTTGGGGTAAGATTCCGAAAATTCCGAGGGGCAAACCTTAGAGTTTCCTTTGTTCCTTTGCGGACTTTGCAACGTATGGTCGGGAGCCCGAGCTGCTGGTGCGCCTCATACCTGTGACAACCCGAGAAGCCTGCGGGGAAAAAAGGAAGAAAAGATCGAGCTCTCGCTACGAAAACTGACCAGAGGTGGACATTCGGTTCGGTTATACGTAAACCAAATCAATCCAGACCAGATAATACGCAACATAATCAAATCCGATATAAAAACCAAACATAAAAAAAGTGAAATTTTATTAAGAGAATGAACGATTCTATCGTTGAAAACCGAAACCGAACATATACGGGTTTTCCAAGAATCGAATCTTGAACTGAACCCAAACCGAAAATCGGAATCAGCATGAGAGGTAAAATAAGGGGTGGAATAATTTACCGTAGTAAGTTCCATCCACTTCAAGCACATCGATCTGCAACCAGGAAACAAATCAGTTCATAACTGAACAGAGTACTGTCTCACTAATTCAAACGGATCAAAGATGAACACTTTTCTGTATTCATCACAATCCCACAACACAAGTTCAGAGTTTGCAGCTGAGGGTTTCAATTTCAACTCCACCAACATGAACAATGCAAATGCTGCACATACATGCCGATTATATACAATCGTGTTCGTGTTTTGATGGAACTGAAAATTCAAACCGAATTTGATTATCCGGAAAGAAAAAGGAGAGGATCTATGGGAGGAAGAAGAGCGATTTTACGAACCGGAACTTGAAGGCCGATCTCGCTGATGCTATCCATTAGCTCCTTCACCTTCTTCTGATCGTTCGCTCTGGTTCGCATCAAAGGTCTCCGTATATTCCCCAATGGAAGCTCCACAATCAACGGCCCTGCTCCTCCTCCTCCGCCACTGTCCGACGACGGCGCTGCACCTGAACCGCAACAAAAGACACTGCAGAAACAAACTTCCTTCTCTCCCTCTCTCAGTATTTCGTTCTTCAGAATTAGGGTTTCGAATTTACCGTTAGACGAAGAAGCCGAGACGGAGAAGCCCCTCATCGTCGAGCTGATCGGTAGTCTCAGCATCATGTTCGCCATTTTCGCCGTCGTCTCCTTCTCTCTTGGGGAGAAAATTAGATTTATTATTATTATTCAAAAAGAGAAACTGATGAAAAGAAAATATAAAAAAAATGTGTGTGAACGGAAAAATGCAAGTGTGAATCACGTTTTCGGTACCGCAAAAACCGGTAACCGACCAATTCCGGTTTGATTGGGTTTGGTTTAATCCGGTTTACTCGTTTATCGAGTACGACGTCGTTCTGTGTGTCGTTGCGGCTGGAAAAAATGTCAGATGGTTGAACAAACGATTCATGGAGTAAGCTCCTCCAATGGCGGCCGCTACCTCCTCCACGCTGCTTCCGTACGTATAAATACCTTTTTTTTTGGGAAGTTTCGAAATTTAAATGTTTTCCATTTTTTCCAAAATCAGGAAATCGGAGTTGTAGAAGAAGAAATCATCGTTTCTGGGCATCGTCGTCGTCATCATCATCGAGATTCGATCTCACCAACCATGGCGCGGAAATCATCTCTGCTGAAGAAAGTCGCGGTCATCGTCTTCTCCGTCATCGCCATCTACGTTCTGCTCAACGCCTCCGTCAACTCCTCTCTCCCTTCCCAGACCTCTCCCTCCGATCTCCCTCGCTTCTCATTCTCCGGCTCTCGACAGCTTTTCCGCGACGAACCGGACGAAGAGGAGCCCAAGGATCTGGTTTTTCCTAGGGTTAGGGTTTACATGTACGATCTCCCCAAGAAATTCACCTACGGAATCATCGAACAGCACGCGATTGCTCGCGGCGGTCTCAAGGATTCAACCGGCGATGTCTCCGAGCTCAAGTACCCGGGCCATCAGCATATGCACGAGTGGTATCTCTTCTCGGATCTGAACCGACCCGAGAAGGATCGATCCGGGTCTCCGATCGTGCGCGTCATGGATCCGTCCGAGGCCGATCTGTTCTACGTTCCCGTGCTCTCTTCGTTGAGCTTGATCGCGAATGCGGGTCGACCCGCTGAATCCGGATCCGGGTACAGCGACGAGGAGATGCAGGAGAGCTTGGTGGAGTGGCTCGAGGAGCAACAATGGTGGAAGAGGAACAATGGGCACGACCACGTGATCCCAGCCGGCGATCCGAACGCGTTGTACCGAGTCATGGACCGGGTCAAGAGCTCGGTCCTGCTCGTTGCCGATTTCGGGCGGTTGAGGCCTGATCAAGGGTCGTTTGTGAAGGACGTGGTTATACCTTATTCCCATCGGGTGAGCTTCTTCAATGGCGAAACTGGAGTTGATGAACGCAACACCTTGCTCTTCTTCATGGGAAATCGCTATCGCAAAGATGTAAGTAATTCCCTTTTCTTTTCTTGCTTCGTTTCCGCCATTTTTCGGATTTCTTAGACGATCAAAGAGACTGCTGATCATAGAACTGAATCTCTCCAATTCTGGGTCGGTTTCCACTGGTTTCAGAAAGTTCCATTGAAGAAGAAGGGTAGCTTTTGATGAACTAAGATAGCTTAGCTCAGGGATTGCATAGTTGAATATTGATATTCATTAGGGTTCAACCATTAGCCAAGATCCATGATTTTGAAGCTCGAGTTCTTGTTTTCGATTGATCAACCATTAGGGTTCATGTTATTAGAAAAGTTGCAGCCTTTAGCAACCTTTCTGATTGTTTCTTGGCCGATGATTTCAGGGCGGCAAAGTCCGTGATTTACTCTTTCAAGTCCTCGAAAACGAAGAGGACGTCATAATAAAACACGGAACTCAGTCCAGAGAGAATCGACGGGCTGCTACAAAAGGAATGCACACTTCCAAGTTTTGTCTGAATCCCGCAGGCGATACCCCGTCAGCCTGCAGGCTCTTCGACTCCATTGTCAGCTTGTGTGTTCCCGTGATTATAAGCGACAGTATCGAGTTACCCTTCGAAGACGTTATAGATTACACTAAGTTTGCAATTTTCGTGGAGAGCAACTCTGCTCTTCAGCCCGGGTTTCTTGTTCAGATGCTGAGGAGAATCGAAACTGAGAAGATCCTCGAGCTTCAAAGAGAGATGAAATCGGTACTTGATACTTTTCACACGGTATCCTCTCTCTTATGCCCATTCGAAAGACGTTTTTGCTAACCCATTTTCCAAACCCGGGATTCAGGTGAGACGGTATTATGATTACACGAGCCGGAATGGAGCCGTGGATGAAATCTGGCGGCAAGTCTCGAAGAAACTACCGCTGATCAAGCTGATGAGTAACCGTGACAGAAGGGTCGTCCTGAGAAACTCGACCGCACCGGACTGTTCATGTCTCTGCTCAAACCAGACTGGCGCCATCACCTCCACAGAACAATGACCCAAATCCGACCCGGATGAGCTCGAACCCATCTGGTGAGTGGAAGCGGAGTTTTGCAGCATCCATTCGGCCGTGGAGACAAAGACAGGTTTGTTAGTTTTGTAGATTCTGTAGAGCTTCTCTCTTCGACTATGTAGCGTTAACTCGTACACTTACACGGAGATTACACTGTACATGCCATTACATGAAACTCTAGAATCCACTTGAACAGGACAATGTTTCTTTCTCTCAATTCTCTTGTTCTTCAACAGTTTTCTACTTGTGATTCATAGTCTTGTGCAGACCCTTTGGAGACTTTCCACCTAGGATTGGCCAATTCGGGTTTTGACTCATATTTGGGTTCAGTTATTCCGTTTATAGAAAAACTATAACCATTTGGTTTTTACATAAATTTCGATTCGGTTCGATTTGGTTTCGGTAAAAAGTTCAGTTTTTCAAAAAAATTGTCGGGTTTTTTCTCGATTTTTTCGGTTATTTTTTATTCGGTTCGGTTTCGATTTTTTTGGTTTTAAGAAAATCCTAACCGTTCGGTTATGATATCGGGTTCGATTTGGATACGATTATGTCTTATTCCGTTTGGTTCGATTCGGTTATTCGGTTAATATCACCCCTATTTCTACCGAGCGAGCCACGATCATAGGATAAACGTATGAACGTCTTTGGAATTTAGACAATTAAAATAGTGGGTTTCGCCTTATCTGTCCACTTGAATCAAACTTAATTATATATATATATATATATATGTATGTATGTGTATATATATGTGTGTGTAATAACGAAAGTAATTAGAACTAACCGAAGGAAGGGTTATGTTTGCAACTTTGCACTGCTTGTGATTGTGCCCTAATTGGTTCTTTCTTATTCACATTCACTGTCCACACACATCAAATTATTTTATGCCCAGAATTCAAGGAAGTAAAAAGGTTATAATGATAAATAAATTTAAGAAAAGTTTTGGTGGATGAATCAAGAATCAAACGGCGGTGGTGGATGGGCCTTAAATGGGCCTAAGCTACTAAATGATAAGCCCAATGATTTTCCACAATATATATATATATTTTTTTCATAAATTCGTGGATGTAAAACGAGCCGCGGATCGCGGGGTGGCTCGTGAGTCAGCTCATATTTTTCTGGCTTGGGCTCAAAATATTTGAGCTCATAAAAAATCGGGAAATTTAATTTTTTATTACATTTTAAATATTTTTTAAATATTAAAATTAGTTTTAAATATTTTTAGTATTAAAATTTTATTTTTAAAAATTATATATTTGGCTCGCGGGCCGGCTCCGTTGGTTCCGACTGATATATTTATGGCTTGCTAAAAAACGGGTCGGAATGAGCTGGACTAAATTTTTTTCAGATCGGAACGAGCCGGACTGGACCGGGCCGGGCCGACCCGTTTTACACCCCTAAGATTTTCTCTTAGATTTCAACAAAATCTCATCATTCAAACCACATCCCATTAAATTGAATAAATTCCAACAAAATCAAATCATTTCTCTCTCCTTTAATATGTGGATCAGACTATTAATGAATGTTCCATTAATGGACCTTCGTAGTTTGATAGGATGTCTCAATGCAGAAATTGAAATAATAAATTAGGTGGTGGTTCGATTTCAATGCCCATTGTCGTCAAACCGTAGATGGAAAGTAATTATATTAATTACATATATAAAATCGCATCATTAAATGTATAATTACATATGTAAAATCGCATCATTAAAGCGTGTATTGAGATTATTATATATTTAATTTAATATAAAAGGTATTTTATAAGAAGGTTCCGGGAAAATGCAATTTTCCTGCGCTTTCTTTGCATCCAAACAAAGACCGCAAAGTTTTCAGCTTTATTGCATTTCGGGGCTGACCCTTGTCGGCAAATTCAATTTCCCGATCGAATCGAGAGAGCCCAGAGGGAGATTTAGCAGAAAAGAAAAAAAGTCCTATTTGGCCGCCATGGATGTCGAGCCAGAGGAGCTCCAGTTCCTGACGATTCCTCAGGTGCTCGTGGAATCGATCTCGATCACGAAACGATCGCCCAAAACTTTCTATTTCATAACCCTAACCCTAATTTTCCCTCTCTCCTTCGCCATCCTAGCTCACTCGCTGTTCACCCACCCGATCATCGTGAAGCTCGACTCGGTCGACTCGTCTCGGGCCCGGCACGACTGGACCATCCTCTTGGTCATCGAGTTCTGTTACCTAATCTTCCTCTTCGTCTTCTCTCTCCTCTCTACCGCCGCCGTCGTTTTCACCGTTGCTTCGCTCTACACGGCCAAGCCCGTCTCCTTCTCCTCCACCATCTCCGCCATTCCCAGAGTCTTCAAGCGTCTCTTCATCACCTTCCTATGGATTGCTCTCCTGATGTTCGCTTACAACGCTCTGCTCGTCCTCTTCCTCGTCATTCTCCTCGTCGCCGTTGATATGGGCAAGGCGGGTTTGGCTGTTTTCGCTGGTTTGGTGATTTCCGTGCTCTATTTCGGCGTTCATGTCTATATCACTGCTCTATGGCATCTGGGTAGCGTTGTATCCGTTCTCGAGCCGATTTACGGCTATGCCGCCATGAAAAAGGGTTACGAGCTTCTGAAGGGAAGAACCCAGATGGGGATGATTCTTGTGTTCGTGTATCTAGCGCTCTGCGCATTGACCGGAGGCTTTTTCGGATCTGTCGTGGTTTACGGAGGTGAAAAGCATGGAGCTTGGACAAGGATTCTGGTCGGTGGTTTACTGGTCGGTGTTCTTGTGATGGTGAATCTTGTCGGATTGCTGGTTCAGAGTGTGTTCTACTACGTCTGCAAGAGTTACCACCATGAATCGATCGACAAAACGGCTCTGAACGATCACCTCGGAGGATATCTGGGAGAGTACGTGCCTCTCAAGAGCACCATTCAGATGGAGAACTTGAATGCTTGATGTGAATTCTGGTGTACTGCATTCCAAATCTCTTTCTTATATCATTGATGGATAAGAAATGTGTTGAAGCAAATCTGTGGATGAATATGGAGTTTGTATATTGATTGATGGAATGTATATCGAACAAGAAGCATTATTGTTTTGAGTTCTTGCCATTGAAGTGTAGCAGGGAATACAGAACAGAGTCTGTCTATGAATTGTATGTATGTATGAATGTGTGTGTGTGTGTGTGTTGCCGGAAAAGGAAGATGGGTTGCCGGAAAATGAGGTGGCAATGGCCGGAGAATCGCCGGAATAAGTATGAGAGAGCAAAAGGTAATCACTTCAACAAAACAAAATGGAAACAAAAACTGTACTTCAAGTTTTATATATGTATTCACTCCCCCAACAATATACAATCAATGATATATAACAAAGTCTATACAAAGTAGAACAGTTGTCCTGTTCTTGTTCTTGTACAAATCACCACATGAGCCCCAAATCTTGAACTGAACATCTCAAAATGACATTATGCACAAAACCATATCTTTACACCAAAAAAATGCAACCGGATACTCCTGTATATATATATATGTATGTAGAACCCCGAAAACAGACGATTTTTTGTAGAGGATGGTACGTACGGTGCGGAACGGTCATTTGTGGGTTGGGTGGTTTGGGTGTGGCTTGGTCTGGGCAGCAGACGTGGACATGACCCGGAGGCGACTGGCTATCTCCGTGAAGGAAGGCCGAGCCACCGGTTCAGGAGCCCAGCATTGTTCCATTAGCAGTCTCCATTCCTGGTCGCAGTAGCTTGGCACGGTTGGTCTCAGTGTGTTGTTCACTATTCCCCCTGTGTTCATGTCCCAAAAACACTAAAACTCACTACCAACCTCGTTTGATCTATCTATGAACCAAATATTAGCAAATGCCAAAATGTTTTATATATCAAACAATGACACTATTAATTTCAGTGCCATCATAGCAAGATCTCACCGAAGAGGGATTAGAGAGATGAGGTTAAAATACCAATTATGGCTCCATAATGCATATTAGCGTAGGGCTCCTCGCCCGTAAGAATCTCCCACAGGACGATACCGAAAGAGAAAACATCAACCTGCACATCAACGGAATATCCAACCCCGAATATCACTTCAAAAAACGATCAGAGGGCGAAAAAATAAGTAGGGGAAGAAACTGGTCAGACCAGATCATTTGAACAAGCAGCTTTAGAACTTGCACGCAAAATTTTCCCCCTATTAACCGAACCTGTAACGAGAGTAACCCGTGTTTTGTTTCGCTAGTTTACTATCCAAACTACCTAGTTTTCGTTAGCCAACACAATACAACTCAGGGAATGTGTAGAAGCGTACCTTTTCAGAAACTTTACTGCTGCTTCCACTTAGTAGCTCAGGTGCCATCCAAGGAAGGGTTCCTCTTACACCGCCAGTGACCAAAGTGTTTCTTTTTATCTTAGACAGCCCAAAGTCACCTACCTGCAGATGAGATAACACATTTCTTGTTTCATAATCATAACGAATAACACCGAAAGTGTCCCACCATTCTGTTTTTGATTTGTGATATAAGAAGATAATTGACCTTGCATATTGGACGTGCAGTATCTTTTAAGTTGACAAGCAAGTTGTCACACTTTAAATCGAAATGAACAATGTTCTTCGAGTGCAGATATTCCATCCCGAAAGCCGCATCCATTGCAATGATGAGGCGCTTACGCCGGTCAAGTTGTCTGGGTTCAGGCACAAATGCAAAAAAACGGTTTGTAACTTGAGATTTTAGGAAACAATGATTTGAAAGAAATGTGAAATTACTACCTGTTGCTGAGCAGAACATGTCTAAGTGAGCCATTCACCATGAACTCTGTCACTGTAGCTAAAGTTCCTCCAGGCCCATCTTGCACAACCCCATAAAATGCCACAACATTCGGGTGGTGAAGCTTGGAGAGAATTTCAGCTTCATGCCAGAACTCCGAGGTCTGAATATTTTGGCGAAAAAATTGGATTAGTAGTGGTCATAATGGAGCATCAGCAACTCAGAACAAATGCCATTGGCAATAGAAGGGATAATGTACAAATATATTGTACTAGCAAAGATCTACTGTGCTGAAAACAACAGTGCTTCTATGAGCAGTGAAGTTTTTGGTGACCAGCCGATGTTCTCATGCGACTCAAATCCCAAAATTGTTCGAGAAAGAAAGCTCACCAATCTTTCTTGCTCAGATGATCGACCAATAAAACAGCTCTTCTTTATCCGCTTGATTGCAACATCTGTTCCCCTCCATTTTCCATGATAAACTGTTCCAAAGGTACCCGAACCTAATTCCTTCAGTTCTTCCAAATCCTCATTCTTTATGATCTGCAATGAAAGAATAATTTCACTTCTCACCATCCATTGATAAACCCAAGAAATAGAATTACAAGAGATCTTCAAATCTGCCACTATTTCAGTTCAGAGTTGGCACATGAACCCTAGAGACCAGAATGCATGTCACATCCAAACTGGAAGACACATAAAGACAGGATATTGTAACTGATGCAAGAGAAAATTGTCAAACCAATCCTGCTGGTATAAATCTAGCAGGCCAATACCGTGATGTTATTCAGCTGATTAAAGATGTCGCCTCAACTATATACTAGTTACCAAGATGAGATGTAAACGGAACAAACTGAGACGAACCTGCAAAGACCTGATGTCAAATTCTCCAGCCGTTAGGTCAATGAGAGGCACACCAGTGTTTTCCTGCATATTCAAGTTCCCACAACAAAGTCAAGCAAGATTACCGAGAAGATTATGTCAAAACATTGTCTTCTTCCTTTTTAGACAAAGTGGAAACTTATAAGTTTCTCTTCTTCAAGTTCAGAAAACAGTGAGCTTACAGTAGTTGTGTCTGTGTTTTCGTCACCCTTGTTGAGCAGCTGTGACTGACCATAATCTTGTTGTGTGTCTACCGTGTTGGAAGCAGCTACAGGAGAGACATCCGGTTGGATATTTCCATCAAAGTGGATTTGCGGATCAATATGACTTGAAGCAACTTTCTCTGACTGCAACGGTGGGTAGCTGTAATCGATAGGAGCTCCTCCGGTTGTCATGGAAGTCGGAAATCCCGGATGGTCCTGATCCATAAGCGATACATCCTTCCTAACAAACTCATCCTGGGCCAAATTTTGGAAATAAGACCAATTCTTAGGCTCATGATTCTGAACATTTAAACTCACACCAGCTCCATCGACATTTAATGGACCTAATCCAGAGAAGTTCAGAGAGTCTTCTTTTGCTTTCATGAATATATCAGCAAGAAAATCGCGGGGAAACCTATCATTTATGTCAACAACAATGTCCCCTTGCTCTGGACTTTCAGGGCCAGTAGCACGTTGTCCTCGTGGGGCAGCGCTGATGAAAGTATCTGAGGAGCTTACTTCTCGAGTAACAGGCTCAGCCCAGTTTTTGTTTTCAGCCACATTATTCCACCCGAATTCTGGCGGCTTTGGAGCTGTAACTGGGGACTGGTCCACATAAGTGCTTTCAGCTCTTGTTAGCTGATTCAAGAAAGCTGCCTCATTTTGATTCAGGGATCGGTCTTCAAAGTTTCCCTTGCTCTGCATGGTTCCTAGCTCATTCATGTAATCGCCTAACCGTTGCTGATCAGGTATTTGTCCAGTTGATTCTGGACTAACCTTAGAAATTGAAGAGTTCATCTGATTGATCTTGCTACCGGATTCTTCACTCTTTTCAAACTGCAATGTCTCTTCAGCTGTCCAGGGGCTTCCAGAAGATGGTTGTTTCATAGGTGGAATAGACAGCACATTCTGGGAACTCGTACTTGCTTCATCAAACTTTTCGGCCAATTCACTGATAGGCTGGAAAGGATCAGAACTAGTTTGAGCCATCAGAAACTGAGAACCAAGGGAATCATTAGATTTAGACAAGCGATTGGTTTCTTCTTGCTCCCGCAGAATGCGCTCAGAATGAAAAACCCTTTGATGAATCACAGGCTGGTCAAGGTTGCTTATACTAGATGAATCACCACCCGAGCTTACATATCCAGATGTTGAGAATCCTCCAGGCAGGGAAGATTGATCATCTTGATTGGCTTTCCTGCCATCGGTTGCTGTCTCAGAAGCACCTGGATTCTGAACAAGTTCCTGCGATTTTCTAACACTTTTTTCTGGCAAAATGTAGGAACTCATATCCGGTGTTGAACTGGCTACTTTTGTGACAATTGGAGTTTCTTCCTTGGAGACATTATCAGGGGCAGGACAATCACTAGACACTGAAGAAATACTATATTCACTAACCCTCGGAGTCGAAAATTCTCTCTTCATCTTTGATTCCTTGGCTGAAGCATTATTCTCCAAAGCACATACATTAGCAGGCTCATTTACTTTCTGAAATGAGCCATCTCTTTTCAGTTTGGCTTCTTTAATCGAAGGTTCTGGATCTTGTGCATGAAACACTTGTTCCTCACGTAAAACCCCCTGCTGGGTCTGATGCAGATGGGGAGGTACCGGAGTTTCAGGAGGCGTTGCAGGATTCATAGCATACGGACTATAACCCGAAAGTGGTTGATGTGCTAAGCTTGCAATAGGAGCTGATGTATAAACTGGGTGGTTAACAACTCCCCGGCGGTGTACTTGCTGTGCAGGAAAAACCCCTCCTTGTTGAGATGTTTGAATAGCTAGCAAGGGTCCATCTACTGCTAAAGGGGTAGGAGCAGGAGCAGGAACTGCATCTGGTTCTGAGGCAACTCGACCAATCTCCCTATCAACATTCATATTAAGTAGCTCGTCCAAATTGTTCCCAGAAACACTTGCTGTTCCGAGGGAGCTCTTTCTTGAAATTAGATCCATCCCATTGACAGCAACTACATACTGAACCTCAGAATCACCGTCCACAGCTCCTATGCCAAACTGAGTCTCCTCTGTGTCACTGCTTGAGAATAAGAACATCCTGGGCTTCAGAGATTCTCCACTATTTAACACATCACATTCCTCCATCATGTTTTGCAAGTCCTCATCACAAGACACAGAAACCAGAGCATCAAGATCCTCTCCAGGCAGTTGATACTTTATCGCATGAGTATCAGAGTAAATTTCTGACATCTTCTGCATTAGTTTTTCATAGGAAATATCCCTGCTAATCCGAATGATCCGTGTTTCACCACCGACATATCTAAGCTTCTGATCCCTGGGGCGCGGTAAGATTTTACCACCAAAGCTACATAAGAACTTCACCTGGTTTAAGGAGCCATTCAACCCTCTAGAAGAACCAAAACTATGAAGTCTTTGATTGCCACCATTTCTTGACGATGTTGCTGGTACTGACTGCACCTGTTCACTGTAACTCTTGTCTTCAATGGTAGAAGGGATCTTCCTCTCATGCTCGAGTGTATTATGCTTTTCTGATGCACTAAGCACTGGTGTGGTAGACCCGCTCTCCGACATTGGATGAGCCATTCCCATTACACCCTTTAAGTCAACATAAACAGGCATACCACTAGGCTCCCCATACGCGTTTGGGATGAATTGTTGTTTCTGAATAGCCCTATCTCTCATAAACTCAAAGGCAAATTCTTCACCAGTCTGAATCGAGTAATTCAATACCGGTCGAGGGGCTGAAACGACATAATCTGGAGGCCGTACATTAGCGCTAATATTAGTCGAAGGATCATGAGAAAACCTCTGGTTGATTGAACCGAGCCCCTCATTTCTCGGATCAGAGGCGGTATACCGAACTTGTTCATAATTCTTCGCCTGGTCCATCTCTTCTATCCCGATATGTCTATCCATTCAGTTCATGAGTGCAGATGCTGGGAGGAAACATATCATAATCACAAATAACATCTTCACATATGCATCCTCTCAAGAAAATTCGTAGGATTTGGCTGTGATTTAGGTCTCTTAGCATAAGCAACTCCAGACCTCATAGAGGAGCCTGAAACAAGAGATGAATTCTTTAGTAAATAAACCACGAGCTCATACGGGAAAAGCTTAGACAACAACAACAACAACAACAACAACAACATCGGCTTAATCCCAAGATTAATGGGTAAAGCTCATCTGGAAAACTATCAAACTTGATTCCCTGAGATCATCCCTTACTCTTGGCAAAGAGGACCATACTAAGCAAAAAATAAATCTGATTAAATCGGGAATAGATAATCCCAGACCAACCAGAATCAAAAGTTTGACTTTGAACCCTAAAACTAGCGTTGGTTATCAATTGGCATCACTGAATCCAATCCGTACCCACTAGAACCTTGATCTGAAATCAGAGAACACGACATGTCTCCGATAAGAAATCACCCAGGATCGGGACAAAACCCAACAAAACACCAGTATTCATATGTCCCAACAGAAATCGAGCTAGAATCCAGTGCCTTACCGAGGCAAAACCCGATCTAGCCACTAAGTCAGAGAAATCACAAAGATCTGAGAAAAACACAGTAGAAATTCAACCAAAAACACATCCGATCCAGAGAAATATCGCCACTAGAGATCAAAACAAACAAAAAAAAAAGAAATCCCAATTCCGCCAGAAGCAAAAAGGAAGAGAATTTGGGGAAGGGTTTACCTGGAGACGAGGCACCAGAGACTGAGGGCGTCCTTCGTTTGACGATCGATGAGAAAAAGCGGACAAGAAATCCTTAATCTCTCTATTTAAGGACTAAACTCGACTAACCTCTCTCTCTCTCTCTCTCCATTTTTTTTTATTTTCCATATATCATTTTATATTTTGTCATTTATTAAAAATATTTTTTTGACATTTGTAATTGTAGGGGAAAATTAATTTTTTTTCCTACTTTGCACATTTCTAGTATTTCTTGCATTGAAGGAAGAAATTTAAAATAGCATTCTTTGTTAATTAAGAAAAATAAGAGAGTATTTTTAATTAAGCGGTTACAATTTTTTAAAACTAAAAAAAATATAATTTGTATAAAAATATAAAAGTAATTGAATAAAATTTAGATATAAATTTTTAAATCTAATATAAATAACTTTGTGTTTCCTATTTAGTTTAACACCCGTATAAAAAATATTTTTAACTTTTTTAATTTAAAATCAAAATTTTTGTATAATTTATCTTAGTGGGTTTTAATTTCAAAATTCAGAGAGGGAGGTGGCTTTGATCAAAACATAAGTTTGTGTTTAATCATTAATTTTTTTTCATCATAACCAATCAAAATTTAATGAAATATATAAAATATTAGGTTAGTTAATATATAATTTGACCATTAATTAATATATAATTTGACTTTTAATTTTAGTGAGTATAAACCTTTTTTTAAAGCATTTTTTAAAATTTTGAATAAAACTCAGAAACCTAAAAGCTCCCTCGGTCACAACGCAACAGCATGCTAAGTTCACTCGTCACTTCCTCCGCCGCTTCCGTCGCCGCCGCTTCCGCCGCCGCTAGGTCTCGTCCCCAATTGTTCGCCGATCATATTCACCGGAAAACCGCCGTCTTCTCTCTTCCTCGCCAAACTGTAAATTCTCCCATGTCTCTGGACGTTTTCCCTTTCTTTTTCGTGGTGTTTTTTTTTTCCTGAATTTTTTTATGGTCAGTGTCGGGATTCTCTGTGAGCAGGTCCACTCTTTTTCACTGCGTCCGAGCTTCTTTGCGGTCCGAGCCATGGCGGAATTTCCGACAGTCCCGATGAGTCAGCCGCAATCTTCCGATTTTTCTAGTTATTGTCTTTTAAGCTCTGAATTATTGAAGTTATGTTCAATTCGAGTCCTTTACTGCAGTTTCAATTCAGGAAATGATTGAGTCACAAATCTTCTGCGCAATTTTTCTGTGCCATTTCTTCATTTCAGGCAAAAAGCAAGCTTTGATATCTTTGTCCGACAAGAAGGAATTGGCTCTTCTTGGAAATGGTCTGCAAGCGTTGGGGTAGTTTCCTTGTGTATTTGCAGTGCTGTCTGTGATTAGGACATGAACCAGTTGTTGTCTTCTTTCCTCTGATATGTAACTTATCGTTAATGGTTTTTATTTTTGGAATTCATAGACATACCATTGTTTCTACTGGAGGGACTGCCTCCGCTTTGGAGAATGCAGGAGTCTCTGTGGCTAAAGTGGAGACGCTCACTCATTTTCCAGAAATGGTAACATCAAGAATCAAGATTTAGTCCTCCGGCCCTGTTTTGCACTTTCTGATATCTCAAATTTAGAATGAAAACCAAGCCCGGTTTGATGTGCTTGAATCGATTTGTGTAGTTTTTGAATAATTATACAATTGTTTCCTAAAGTTTGTGTTTTTATCCGAGTCTTCCTTTCGATTTCCTTGTTAAGCTTGACGGTCGTGTGAAGACTTTGCACCCGAACATACACGGGGGAATCCTCGCTAGAAGAGATGTTAAGCATCATATGGAAGCTCTCAACGAGCACGGGATAGGTTAGTTGTTGCGGCATTTGAATTCTCCTGCATTTTCCATACTTTTTGTTTAACATTATCAAAATTATTATTGCATTTATGCTGAATTGTTTCTATTTTCTGTTCAAGGCACATTCGATGTGGTGGTTGTCAATCTGTATCCGTTTTACGATAAAGTTACAGCCCCTGGTGGAATTAGCTTCGAGGATGGAATTGAGAACATTGACATCGGTGGTCCTGCTATGATAAGAGCTGCTGCTAAGGTATATGATACGTGTTTCTTATACCGGATCCTGCATATATGGATCTATATTGATATATATATCTTTGTATACTGTCTACCTTTTTTCGGGATTCTTACATGTAATTATGTATCAAACAGAACCACAAAGACGTTCTCATTGTTGTCGACTCAGAAGATTATTCTGCTGTTTTGGAATACCTCAAGGGCGGCCAGAATGATCAGCAGTTCCGCAGAAAACTTGCTTGGAAGGCTTTTCAGCATGTGGCTGCTTACGATTCTGCTGTTTCAGAATGGTTATGGAAGCAGACAGAAGGGCGTATGTATCACTTTTCTCTGCTTTATTTTGAAGTGTTCTTCTTAGAATGAGTATATAAAACTTGATGGCTCTTGGTTAGATAGGAAGAGGCCTTAGACATCTTATCTATTTTGTCTGAAAGCTGTGTTAAATTATGAAACCTTTCTGACCACCTTCCCATGTTATGATTGACGCTTATATTTAACGAGATTCCTTTTCTTTTCCCTTTTTTTGTTGTTTCTCAGAAGAGAAATTCCCTCCTAGCTTTACAGTTCCACTTTCACTCAAGAGTTCTCTTCGTTATGGCGAGAATCCTCACCAAAAGGCTGCATTTTATGTCGACAAGAGCCTTGGTGAGGTGAATGCTGGCGGTATTGCCACCGCGATTCAGCACCACGGAAAGGTGAGAAAACTCCTAGTACCGATCATTCACGGCCCGTCTTTATTTTCATCTTATGAACATTTCTTATACAACATCTGATTAGAATAACTGCTATTCCAAAAAAAAAAATTCTTCCTTCTCTGATTCTTTTTCCTTCTGTTTCGATAAATGACAAGTTATCAAATGTTCAACATCCCTTTCAGTTTCTGTCTTTTATTTCTGAATTTTTTGCCATCATGATGCAGGAGATGTCATACAACAATTATTTAGATGCTGATGCTGCGTGGAACTGTGTATCGGAATTTGAAAACCCGACGTGTGTAGTTGTGAAACACACAAATCCTTGTGGTGTTGCTTCTCGCAGCGATATTCTCGAGGCTTATCGTTTGGCTGTAAAAGCAGATCCAGTTAGTGCTTTTGGCGGTATAGTAGCTTTCAATGTCGAGGTTGACGAGGTAAGTTGGCAATTCCATTTCTAATCTTTTACAAGCCTATCATAAAAAAAATATGAACTTTACGGTATTTTAGGAACCGGAACACAATCAGAAGTAGTATTCAACCTCCTCTCAATTTTCTGATGAACTTTCTGATGATTTCTTCGTAACGCAAGTCTCTCTACAAAAAGAACGATGTGGGATGATAAAACATTATAGATTACTAACTGGCTCTAGGTCCGTTTATTTCTTAATTTCCGAATCCAAATATAAAAATTAACCAGCAAGAAACGTAATTCTAAGATAATAAAACTCGATAATCTAGGATTCTAACATATTCTACTGTTTAATTAACGGTCTGCTGTTCTATTTGTCCAGGCTCTTGCAAGGGAGATCCGGGAGTTCAGGAGTCCGACGGATAACGAGACCCGAATGTTTTACGAAATAGTGGTTGCCCCGAAATATACTGCTAAGGGCCTCGAAGTGCTGAAAGGAAAATCGAAGAGCTTGAGAATCCTCGAGGCGAGGAAGAACAACAAAGGGAAGCTGTCTCTAAGACAAGTCGGAGGCGGATGGTTAGGTCAGGATTCAGACAACGTGACCCCGGAAGACATCAGTTTCAAAGTTGTCTCGGACAAGACTCCGACCGAAAACGAGCTCTCCGATGCAAAGTTTGCTTGGCTCTGCGTCAAGCACGTCAAGAGCAACGCTATCGTGATCGCAAAGGTTTGGTTTTACGGGTTTTTCTTCTTCACCAGTCATTCTTGTTTCGATTTTTTTGCATGGAACATTTCCTAGTTTTTTCTTGTGTCTGATTCTTGGGTGTTTGGTAAGAACAATTGCATGCTGGGGATGGGAAGTGGACAGCCAAATCGTTTGGAGAGTCTGAGGATAGCTTTCAGGAAGGCTGGTGATGAAGCTAAAGGAGCTGCCTTGGCCAGTGATGCGTTTTTCCCGTTCGGTAACTATTCTCGTCCTTTATTTTATACTCGTATAGATCGTTTTAACCGATACGTTACACCATCCAACCAGTCTCGTTCTCAGCCAAGAAATGAATTCTTGATGTCGGAGAAATGGTGAAAGTTGATATAATCCATAATTGGGTTTGGATCTCCTCGATAGTCGACGAGCCACCCTGGTCCTGCGTGGGTCGTCACGATCTCAAAATTTTTTTGTTTGGCTCAAAAAGAGCCAAAAAAACTCGACTCGGCTCGCCTAGAGAGTCAGTTGGTCTAAAAACAAGTCGGACGTGAGCTAGCTCGCGAGCCCCTGGCCACGAGCTGGCTCATTTTACACCCTACTGTCAGACAAAGGTCTAGTGTAAGCTCGGTTAGAGTGCTGGTCACTAAGGTCTATAACCGAGCCGAAAACCTTGTAAAAACCAGCCCTTTTTTTCCGGGTCGCCTCGGTTCACAAAAGGTCGTTTTTTTTTTTTCCTCGACGATCCAGCGTGGAACGATGCGGTGGAAGAAGCGTGCCAGAAGGGAATCGGAGTCATAGCAGAACCAGGAGGAAGTATAAGAGATGAAGACGCCATCGATTGCTGCAAGAAATATGGAGTTTCCCTTCTCTTCACCAACATCAGACACTTCCGACATTGATCCTCAACCACTTCACTTCCCTCTCTCTGTCTTGAGTTTTTGATTTCCTGAATGGAAGCTGTCGTTATTATGTTGTATAATAAATAGGATGTCCATTTCTATTATTAGCCGAATAATTAAATCCAATCGAATACCGTACTAATTGAATCCGATATAAAAATCGAATGGTTATACTTTCTCTAAGAGAAAATCAAAACCTAATTTGACTGAACCGAAAGTAAAAAAAATAATTGAAAAAGTTGGTAACTTTTAAAAAAAATTACATTAAAAAAATTAAATTCAAAATGAATCGAACTGAAAAATAATTGAATTGAACCAAAATTTATATAAAAACTGAATGTTTATAACTATTAAATTTTAAATATAGAAATTTAATGGTTATAATAAAAAATTAAAAATCTAAGGATTATAATTTGTTTAAAAAAATAAAAAAAAATAGGTTGAAATAATCTGAAGTAAAAAAAGAAAAACTAAATAGAATTTAACATATAGAAAAGAAACGAGAAGAAACAGGGAAACCGAAACTGGAGAAGAAAAAAGTTCGCCGGAGAGAAAGATGGCGACAGGAAGGGTCAAGGTGGAGAAAATCGGCGGGAAATCAACCGCGACGGGATGCTTCTCCAAGTACCCTCTCAAATTCATCCTTCCTCGCAAGGTCTCTCTCTCTCTCGATTTTAGATTTTAATCTCTCCATCAGAATCTATTCCCATTTTGATTGTTTCGTTGATTCTGATGCTGATGCTGATGCTGATGCCGAGTTCTCCATCAGGTAGGTCCTGTCGGAACTGACGCTGTCTGGATTTACAGCATCACCTATGGCGGCGGCATTGTCTCTGTATGTCTCTCTCTCTCTCGTTCCATTGATCGATGCCGTAGTGATGTACGGATTGCGGACACAATACCGTGTCTTCCTCTGAATCCGCGAAATCCAAAGCTTTTTTCTGTTTCAGGAGCATCTAACCTAGAAGCTTGTTTTGTTTATTGTGAGAATCGAGAAATCTATGCAAGTTGTCTTCGAATATGTATGCAGGGAGACACGATTTCGTGTGAATTCACCATTGGCAACGGATGCATCGCTGTGCTCACAACCCAGGCTTCTACTAAGGTTTATTTTAGTATCTTCTCTCCTCAAATCATATTCTTTGATACTGTTTTTCTCTCCCTTTGATCTCGGATTTTGCATTCGTCTTCTGGTTTGTTTCGGTTTGGTTTCTGGGTTTGGATGATGTGATTTCGGACAGGTTTACAAGGCCATGGGATCAAAGTGTTCTGAACAGTCATTGGAAGTAATGCTCTTTCATCAAGAACGAATTCTCGGAATATACCTCGAAGAGGGCAGTGGAGGGAGCGTAAGGAAAGGAATCGAAGATGAACTGCTCGAGCTTCAGCCCGGCCGTGAACCCATTCACAGACGGTATCTTCTTCTCAGCCAAATGGTATCTGCATTTTTCCATATCAGAGTTAGAAATAGCAGAATCAATTTTAGAGTGGTTGAAATGATGATGATGATGATGATGATGGGAATGAGAACAAGTATATATATGTATGTATGTATGTAATGAAGAACTCACACGCTGTCTTTCTCCAGGCCGTTGGCCACTTGGTTAAGGAAATCCAAAGTGAACATGTGCAAGCACACCTTTGGCCAAATTGAAGTCATGTATTAGCAACCATCACAAGGTGTTGTCTTAAACAACCAAACTAGTTAAAAGGGATGTCTATAATGCAATCTTCTTCATTAGATTGATTTTTTATTCAACTAGTTGAAGAGGAAGCATGGAAATTAGGAATAGCAACTAGGGCTGGGCATAGCACGGTTCAGATACCCGTGACTTTAAGATATCCAATCTTGAACTCGTGTCTTTCCCTTGTTCATGCTCCACTGTTTCTGCAGAAACGTTTTCAAAACAGATGAATCTATTGTTAAGACAGATTATGATTGAAACCCTTTTTTTCGCTGTCGTGATGCATTGCCATGGATGGCCCTTTTGGATGATACTGGCTCGTTTGTTTATTACCGTGTGCAGTAGGCGAGAATCGGGCGTGGAGCCCTTTTCGTGGTGATTCCAGATCCAGTTACCTGTTTTTCCACGGCAAGGTACTTTCAGAAACAGATCTTTAGAATGGCTTCGGATTCCAATTTGGTCGTTGTCGATTGGATCACGAGTGGCCGGCATGCTAATGGTGAAAAATGGGATTTTGAGCTTTATAAGAGCATCAACAATGTCTACCTGGATGGTGAAGATGATGATCAGCCTCTGTTCCTTGATACAGTAACATCTCATACCTTCCTGCAGAAAAATTTTCTTTTTTCCTAAAATTTTTAAATGATGGCTGGCTACTTCATGTTCTGAAAGAAGTTTGCCTCTGGAATGCTGTAGCAATTCAGACAGAATCTGCTAATTTTAATGTGTAGAAGTATTGCTTTAAGACACAACTTGGGATAAAATTCTGCTGTCTCATTCCATTCCTTATTCCATTGTTCTTCCTTGCTTGCATTTCCTAATAAACGCCTTCTCGATAAAGATTCTTGTTGATCCCGACGAGAATTCCCTCTCGATTTAGAGGAACCGTGGTCAGAATTCTCTGATAACTTCCTTTTCGGTGTAGGTGCTGCTAGAAAAGGGGAATATCCGTAGTATAGCTGAACGAATGCAAGACTACCAAACCATAGCAATGGTCATAATCTTCGGGTAGATACTCGTCTTCACGTATTATTATGATTACATATCCGATTTCTACGGCCTCTGACTGTTATGTTAAGATCTTTGCTGCATATGTTCTGCTTTATTGTGACTGGATCAGGACAAAGCTGAAAGAAATCCAGAACCGAGTCCAAGACAGCGTGAAGAAGATAATGTCCGAACAATTACACATCTCTTCTGCCATCTGGAGACGCAGGACTGAATCCAGCTCCCGTCCTGGCCTCGCAAAACCCGAGTTTATTGCATCTTGCAGTACATTCGGGCCCGAGGTAAAATACTGTGGCTAGAATCAGCTGAGTTAAAGTCTGAAAATGGCTATAACTATAAGCAAGGACTTGTGATTAGTATTAATAGGTTTTGTAATATGATTTGCAGGGAAAGGGGATGGTGATTCGGATTGCTTCCGAATCAACAGAGTCGGTATACGACTTCTTGAGGCGACAACTCGCCGGGATAGAGCCTCTCATCGGCCAATCCCCGTATCCGTAACTCCGGGTACATTATATAGCAGATTCACGCTTTCTATTTTTTCTCAAGTTTCACAAAATAATTACCATCTATGAAAAAAATATATGATTATTAATATTATCATTATCAATGTTATGAATGTATTTGGAATGGAAATACCTAACAGGGTATAAGAGAAGAAAGCAAGGGAAAAGTGATTAGGGTTTTTGATAATGAAAACAGATAAGAGAGTTTTAGAGGGAGATTTCACAAGGAGCGTGAAATGTTCGTCCCCGGCATATGGGTTCTAGATTTTCTCCAGCGTATGAACAGACAGGTGACACCTCCACACCTATACAGAAAAAATCACACACATATATATACACGAATTTATACATTATGTTGGGTTTTAATATGAGATTCTTTTAAAAAGGAAAGGAGGATTTAGGTGGTTAGAATGTAGTGATTACCAGTTTGGAATAAGGGAACAGAATGAGTAAGAAAGCCACCGGCTGCAATGACCCAACGGGTATGTAGCCGGAGGACCAGAAGCCTTGCACTTTCCGGTGTGTCGAAGCCGTTTGCGTTCTTTACCGGTGCGAATTCTTCTTCCCTTAGCACCTGCGGTTTCATCACAGACACACATATATATATGTATGATCATATATATATCATCAATAGGCTCTTCCTCCTATCAAGAACGAATTCTCGGAATATACCTCGAAGAGGGCAGTGGAGGGAGCGTAAGGAAAGGAATCGAAGATGAACTGCTCGAGCTTCAGCCCGGCCGTGAACCCATTCACAGACGGTATCTTCTTCTCAGCCAAATGGTATCTGCATTTTTCCATATCAGAGTTAGAAATAGCAGAATCAATTTTAGAGTGGTTGAAATGATGATGATGATGATGATGATGGGAATGAGAACAAGTATATATATGTATGTATGTATGTAATGAAGAACTCACACGCTGTCTTTCTCCAGGCCGTTGGCCACTTGGTTAAGGAAATCCAAAGTGAACATGTGCAAGCACACCTTTGGCCAAATTGAAGTCATGTATTAGCAACCATCACAAGGTGTTGTCTTAAACAACCAAACTAGTTAAAAGGGATGTCTATAATGCAATCTTCTTCATTAGATTGATTTTTTATTCAACTAGTTGAAGAGGAAGCATGGAAATTAGGAATAGCAACTAGGGCTGGGCATAGCACGGTTCAGATACCCGTGACTTTAAGATATCCAATCTTGAACTCGTGTCTTTCGGATTTCGAGGTTCGGAATTCATGGCCGTACCAGTGCCGCTTGACGGTATCACAATCCCAAATGGTCAGTTACCCGCGAGTTACTCAATCGGTGAGGGTGATAGGCCAAAGCCGATGGGGCAATGCAAGGAAGGAGAGAGCGGCGGCGAAACGCGAGGGATAAGCGAGGCGAGGACGAGGCGGTCCCAGAATCACCCTCCCCTTTTTTTCTACAGAATCTCTCTTTTGAACCTTTGATCGCCTCCTCTACCACATTTGATCATTCCTCCTCCACCTCCACTCCTCAGCCACCTTCGATACCCTAAACCCTCAACGGGTATCCACAGATACGGGCCAACTGACATTTGAACCCGAACTTGATGGTCAAGTTCTCGCCATCGCCAGATCTGTACTCGTCCAGTACATGGACGAGTACCTGAAAATCGGATATATATGTCTCGTGGGTCAAAGCCCCCAACAGGTATCCGTATACATATCAATTGACATTCAAACCCGAACTCGAAGGTCATCGGATCCGTACTCGTCCCGTCACAGGGGAACGAGTACCTGAGAATCGGATACATAACACGAATACCCGATTTTCAGATTTATTTGCCCAGCCTTAGTAGCAAAACACAGATGCCATAACTACAAGAGAGATGACATTAGGAGGAGGGGGTTTTACTTACATTGCTCCAACAAAACTGAAGACGACCGGTTCTTTGGTTAATAGCAGAGGCCAGAGACGGGTCGAGCTCACTGTACTCAACCACAGTCAAAGGTCCACCCTTTCCCCTCCTTACGAACACCCCAACCTTTTCATGTGGATAGGCCTGCATATATCATCATCATCATCATCACTCAACAATCTTTGTCACCCAAATTTCCAAATTCAGTAAAACCCTAAACGTGGGATGGTGAATAATAATGCTGAAATCAAAGGTTGGTTACCTTCCTCACAACTTTTGCAGCAGAAGCCACCCCTTTGTCTATGAAATATCCCAAAAACGTTGGATCGGCTACTCGGACCTGATTTCCAATAACTCGGTTTATCGGTCTTTAATGCTTTGAGAAAGAATAAAAGTTGACAACTTTTGACAGTTAAAAGAAAACTAACCAGGACATTGTCAACACCATAGCAGTCCACATACTTAATCCCCCTAGAGGCCATGTCCTCTAATAATCTCGAGTATTTTAAAGCTGAGAACCATTTGGACCGACGTTAACCAGTTATATCAGAATGCCCATATGATCATATATATATATATATATATATATTCAGATTATCATATCCGAAATCATTAGGAAGATGAACCTGCATACACTCCACCATTGCCATCTGGAGCCTTAGCTACCTGTTGGTCCAAGAATAACGTGCCATCTTTAGATAAAACCAAGTTGAGAACAAAATTAGCAACCGAATCAGGGGAAAGACAATATACTCTGAAAGGTGTCTCCATTATAAATTTGCCATCTTTGGATATGCAAGGTAGGGTGCCTTGTTGGAAGAAAGTAACCTATGGCAAAGTAAATCAGCATCACAAATGGTTAAGAGTAGCGATGAATGGAAACAATTATACGACAATGGAGCCATCTTACTTGATCTGGTTCAAGGCCAAAGTACTTATGACTCATGAAAAATTTTCGAGTGGGTTCATCGGTAAATGGACTGGTCATTATGTACCAATGTATTGTAACTGGGCGGGTTGGACCTGTAGTTTAGCGGTATATTCCGTAAGCAAACCGCCAAAAAACAGTACAAAGGAACGGGAGAGTAGAATAATGAAACTTACCCTCCTCGGCCATCGTTTGAGAGGCAAGCCTTTGGAGACACAGTATTCTCTCGGCTTGAATCTGGAAGAGAGATTTCCCCGATGGCAGTCCAATATCTGAGACCGAAATAACAACCGGTAAAGTAGCAGAAGAAGATATAACTGACAGAAACATACGATGTTACAAACTACAGTCTGCATTCTGCTAAAAGATAGGGTTCCACCACTGAAAGCAATCAGGAAAGTTGAAGAAATTTCCCATGCAAACACCTAATACAGGCTCATCATATGTTTTAGACATGAGAAATACTTAAAAAATTGCTTAAAAATTGCTTTTACCGTTTTGATTTCAAGAAAAATATTTGAAAAAACTATTTTAGGCAAATAATTTTCATTTGTCATTTAGGGCAGTTGACGATTTCGCTCATTTTTCGAATAAGACTAGATCCAGAGAAGTGACATGCAAGCTGACATTATGGCAGACTGACATTTACAAAGGACAGAACGAGGCACAAAGCATCCCGTTGAGCGGGGGTCGGGGGAAGGATCCCACCACAAGGGTCGGGGGAAGGATCCCACCACAAGGGTGTATTGTAGGCAAACCTTACCTTGCAGAAATATTCTGCAAGAGGTTGCTTCCAGGACTCGAACCTAGGACCTTTAGGTCACAACGGCAACACCTTAACCGGTGTGTCAAGGCTCCCCTTCACAGACTGACAGTTATATCCTAAGAAAAACCTACTGACTAGAATAGTAAAGATAAATTATGAGAGTTACTCACTGAAACACCCCTTTGGATCTGAACTTCCAAGCCTTGTACCCTGCATCAGTTTCACAAGCAGATCATTTAATGATCATAACTTGGCCAGAAAGGTACAGAACAAACAAAGATTGGCAAATAATAGGCAACCAGAAATTTAAAACTAGTTTCACCCTCTTTCCAAATGCAGATCATGGTAATGTACTACACAACAAACACTACAATGATGTAAAATGAGTCCACCCGAAATTCAGAACTGGTTCGGTTTTTTTTTTTTTTGGGGGGGGGGGCCGAAATTCAGAACTGGTTCGGTTTTTTTTTTTTTTGGGGGGGGGGACTGGATTGTTAACAATTCAAAAAGTAGCTTCGCCCTATAAATATGATTCGGTTTTCTGGTGAGATCCATTCTGCAATTGAAAGGGCAACAACAAGGAAAAAAGACAGTGTCCCAGAAGGATATTCAAAAGGTACTTAATGACGAAGTAAATGGCGACCTAACACTTCAAATCCTTACATCAGATTTGAACCTTCCTTTCATCACAAGGAACAGTCCATCCAAATGTGGAAAGAGACTACGGAATCCAATAAAAGCATCTTCCATGTCACGTGATATGCATCCTCGGGAAAAATCTTAAAGCACACTCCTTTTTCTTGTCACCATTAGGTGAAGAGTTCAATCAAGAAATTGCTGTTTTCTATAATGCACCGACGGAGCAAAAGTACCCATCATTACCCACATCACATTACCCTTTAAATACAACACACTTATCCACAAAACAATACTTTAGATTTCCAGCTGTTGGAATCATTTAAATAAACACGCACTAAATCCGTGTAATCAACAAATGCATACTTTAAGAGGGTAGGCAGCATCATTCCAAAATAATGCCTGGGGAAAGGGAGAATCATGTTGAATCATTAGCTTTTTCCTCTGCAATTTCAAGTGGGTACTTCGGCCAAATACGAGAAAGGGTCATCCAAATTGTATGATGGAAGAAACCCAGAGGCAGAATCGGTTCTTTCTTGACAAAATCAAACACAGGCAAACAAAAAAGATTGATGCTTTGAGCTCTAAAGGTACCTGTCCACCAGACAAAAGCACCACGCCCAGTTTCCCTTCATAGATAGCCTTCAATCCCGTTTTCCACCATTTTTCTCTGTCTCCCATTGTTCTCTCATCCACCGTCGACACGCAATTCTCCGGCACCGGCTCCCTTGCCCCCCCACACCGGCTCGATTGCCGCCACAGGCAAACCTAAACAAGCGAAACAGAGCTAGATGAATCTTCACGAAAGAGATCCAAAAATCGAATGAGCAATGCATGTCATTGTCAAGTGGCTTCAACAATTCGATAGAGGTGTAAGGAGATATGGAGGAGTTAACCTTGAGATTGGAGTGAGCATCTAATGATCCGATCTATTCTGGGAAGATCCAAACTCTGCGAAACGACAAAACTGATTCCTGTTAAGTGATCTAAAAGAAATAGATAGTGAGAGCTAATTCAAATCCGCAACCAGTTTGAATTCCATGAAGAAGAAGCGATCCACGATTTGGAGAAAACCCAAGTGAATACTCAATCTTTAGCAGAAATCTTCGGCCATTTAGATGAACTCGGAAGATTCAAAAATCCATAATGGATGATAAACACGTTTTAGAAAAACCCGAATCTCCGAAGAATTCTGGAAAATGCAAAAACCTCTAATCTGATTCACCTCGATTTCCTTGACGAGGAGATCCTGCTCTTCGGGTGAAAGCTCGTCCCAGAGAGCGAAAACATCTTCCTGACCGTAGTCCTTGAGCCTCTCCACCAGCGGTTGCGGGGGTGACGCCATCGCCGTCACAACCGCAGCTCCGTTCTCTCTCTCCGTCGCCGTCGGCTCCCTCATCCTCTTCCTCCTAAGATCTCAAGCCAAAATCTCTCTCGCTCCGAAGGTTTTTTTCTTCAGTGCTTATGGATTTGGACGTTGGTCAGATTTTTGGAATGACTTGCAGAGAGAGAGAGAGAGAGAGAGAGAGAGAGAGAGAGAGAGAGAGAGAGCTGAAGAAGAAGAACCACAGCGAAGAAGAGAATCAAATCAAGCGAGCGTGTAATGTAACAACCGGCGCGTCCTTGAAATGACGGAACTACCCCTCCCTTCATTTCTCAGTCGACATATATTATTTTGTCAGCATCCTCCGACAGTTTTTTTTGTTTTGGTAAACCCTCCGAGCGAATCCGCAGGTTTCCACTCGCCTCGGATTTTTTTCTCTATTTGTTTCTAAATTGAAAATCCAATTATATTATTATTATTATTATTATTATTATTATATTATATCCCATGATATAATAATTTTGTACCTCTGTGATTTGGCTGTAATAATCGCAAAAAGGGCATATTTGAAAATGGAAATGATTTAGATATATTAATTTATTATTATTGATGACAAAAAGGGCATATATTTATGTAGATTTAACTTTATCTCAACAAAGTGCCATTATTTTGAGGCCCGTACCATCATAATAATAATAACCCAAATGATTGCTCTCTATTTTAATATAAGGTATCTTATATTGTGGGTTGGTCTTGCAATATTTTTCCATACCCCATGGTATAAATTTGCAATACCATACTATATGGGCTTGAGAATGAAACATAAACCCCATACATAAGTAGGCCCATTAATATTTGGGCCTTATAAGCAGTAAGAATGTGTGCACGCAGATTGTATATTGAAAAATGGTTTCATATTTTGGAAGAGAAAAAAACTAAATATAATTGAGATCTTGAATATTTTATATAGAAAAATACCATTATCATAAATTTTCAGTTCGAAATTTCTAGTTTTAAAAAAATAATAATTTGTTCGGTCTTATATCATTTTCGCTTTTAGTTTTTGTTCCGAATTTTATTAGAAAAAAAATATATTAATTTTCTAAAAATCAATTAATTTTCAGTTATTTCCTATTCAAATTATCTATTTTAAAATTTTGTTAATTTATTTTCAAATTATTTGATTTCATTCGTTTTTATATAACCTAGATGCGACCGAATCATACTCATTGTATTTCAAATAACACTAAAAAAAAATTAACTTGAAACATCACCGTATTTTCAACCCAACTATATTTTCCAAAACTCACAAATAATTTATGTATCACAATATTAAACATGAAATTTGAGATAAGAACACCCCTACCCTTCTCAATAAATTACATCATTCAACCATCACGGATTAAACCTAAATATTACAAAGTGTTGATCATTTTTTCTAAATTCGGACAGTTCAAATATAAATTAAAAATGAAATATTATATATATATATATATATATATGATTTTGTCACATATTCAAAGATTTTTGGTCAGTGATATAAATTAAATTATCATTGTCAACCAGTTAGTAATTCACTATATCATGCACACTAAGGTTCTCATATAAAAATTGTTATATATTTAGTAGTAAAAATAAATATTTAAATAAAAAAAGCCCATGCGACAACTACAGTACTATCCTGCACTTCGCTTCATTCCATACATATAAAATATTATTGTTTTCTCCATCTCCATTAAATGAAACATCATATGCATAAATGTACAAGGTACCAAGTATTTGTCCCATGGACACAAGATAAAGACAATAAAAATATTGTGAAAAATTATCAAATCGACATAATTTAATAATCCTGATATTTTATAAATTATTATAAATTCTATTATCTATTTTATATTATTTGATTGATGATAATAATCATGTATCAATTATTAAATTATTATTATTATTATTGTACACGTTTTTATTGATTTTCGAAAAGATGGTGACTGAATAGATAAAATGATGGTGTTAAAATCGTTTTTTAGATAATTTATGATAGGTAAAACCACGTTTGAATGTTTTTTTTTAATTACAAAATCCCCTTTATATTCAATATAACATTTTTATTTAGAGGTGGGCAAATTTTATATATATAAATAAATATAACCTATATTATTTATTTCTTCACACCTAAGTCTAGGGCTGGGCGTTTCGGTTCGGTTCTTCAGAATCGGACCGAATCGAACCATTAAAATGGTATTTTTTCCGACCCGAAACCGCTGTCATTTCTCGAACGGTACCATTTTTAGAGAACCGAATTTTTCCGGAACCGAACCTTAAAAATCCCGAAAAACCGAATATTTTTAAAGAAAATCTATCATTTTTTTAATAAAATTTGGAATCGAACCGAACCGAACCGAATACAATAAAAAACCCGATTGGTACCTTTTTTGTAAAATCGAAAAAACCGAACCGATCTATTCCGTCCCGAACCCGAACCATTTACCAAAACGCCCGCCCCTACCTAAGCCTAACCTATATATTTGTGTTTTATCTTCTCGTGAAATTGCTAAAAACCCATTGATAGGTTAATTTAGTTTTGCTCGTATCACTAATGAAGTGGTTAAGTAATGTTTAAGGGCTAAAACATCCAATAATTGAACTAATTGATTTATTTTAAATTTTGTAGGTCTTCCCTATTTTACCTATATCTCTGTGAAGATATCTTCCATGAACTTTGTGCTTAGTGCTTACACAGTTTACGATAACGTGTATATATAGCTATAATAACTTTTTGGTAATACCCCAAAATAATACCTGAATTTCTCAATTTTGACAAAATAAAACATGAACTTTGTTTTTTATCAAATAAAACCTGAACTTCATATTTCAGTCAAAAATAAACATGAACTTTACAATCTTTGTCATTTTTAACCCTATTGCTGACGTCACGTTTCTACATCCTACGTGGCAAGTCAACATTTTGACCGTATTTGACACATCATCGTCCACGTGTCACGATATCGGAATGTTACGTCAGCAATAGGGTTAAAAATGATAAAGATTATAAAGTTCAGGTTTATTTTTGACAAAAATAAATGAAGTTCAGGTTTTATTTGATAAAAAACAAAGTTTAAGTTTTATTTTGTCAAAATTGAAAAGTTCAGGTATTATTTTAGGATTTTCCCTAACTTTTTTGCTTTGTCATTTTAGGAGTGTTTGTGTAAATAACGAATTTATAGATTATTATAGGATCGATCCAAGGTTGGAAACTTATTAAATATAGAATAATACCCATAACATATCAAGTAACAATTCAGAAAATACATCATTTTTTGCATTTTATTGATGTGTATATATATATATATATAACCATTTTTAAATTTATAAATGCCAATGGTATGGAACAAAGGAAGACAGCAGAACTTTTATATATAGTTTGTTTATTTACAATTTTATATATTTAATAAATTGATGATATATCAGTCCTAAAAACCAGTTTTTATAGGTTACAAAATATCTTCGATATCTTTAAATCTGCCGTATTTAGATTAATCCCAATTCGCACTAAATGATAAAGAACTATAGTCTAAACGGTAAAACCATTTTTATAAGTTATGTTATAAGATGTTGTTTATCAAAATATGACGATAATGCATATAATTTATTATCAATATTTGTTTAAAAATGGTCGTTTGAATTTATTTAATTATTGAAACATTTGATCGTTTTAGATATTTCATTTAATGCGATTATCCAATAATTTTTATCAGTTAATTTTTAAAATTTTAGATGAAATTGTCTTATCTTAATTATTTTGAATGTTCGTTATATACATATACTCATAATCAAATATTTTTTTATAACTCTAAAATCTAAAATACTATTACAAACTCTAAAAATTTATTTCATAATTGAAATCCAAAAACTTTTAAAAATAACCCCACGAATCGTTGGTGATATAACGTAGCAGTAGTATATAAAAAAAATCAAAGAACTGTACATATACGCACAATCGTATTATTTTACTATAATGAATATATAATTATGGTCTATATTACAAACGGATTTAACAATAAATATATAACAAAATATAAATTTGTAAGATTTTATAGAATTTGTCGTACGCAATTTTGTAAATCTCTCTCTCTCTCTCCCTCGAATAAAAAGACATTCTCTTTCTCTCTCTACCCTCTCTCTCTCTCTCTACAC